CATATATATATATATTATTATTATATATATATATACATATATATATATACTATATATATATATACATACACACACACATACAGTATCTGTGTGTGTATGAGTTCAGATGAGGCTCCAATGGCAAAGGCCGATAGCTGCGGCTGCCCCGTCAACCGCCCTCTGTTCCTGGAATGCTGAGCAGGCCTCTTGGAAAGGCATTTGCACTACGCAACAGGCTAACGCACACACGCGCAATGTGCACGCACCGTCACACGCACACAAACACACACGCCCGTGAGTATTTCTGTGTGCGAGAAATAAAGGGGAGTGTAGTGTTTGTGCGTGTAAGAATGAGATTAAAGATGCTCAGGGAAATAAAGAGACGGATTTATAAAATACATGAGCGCAGATTGCTAAATAGAGAAGTGGACACCACAGTCCTTGCTAATAAAATCACAAACACAATTACAATGAATACGCACGTACAAATTGACCTCTGCCAATAAATCGTCACGTTTCGAAACACCTCTCACCTCTTCAGACGAAACAAGTGAGTGTGGTAGAAAAACCCACAATGCACAAATTAGTATCAACAGTGTTTTTCCATTCAAGTGTGAGTGTGTATGTGTGTGTGTGTGTGTGTGCGTACGCAAGTGTGGGTACGTTATCTGAAGGACATTTACCCCGCTGTCAAAATACCAAACCTGCAAACATCTGCGCTCCCGAATTGCGTATTAATCGCCCCGCTCAGCTATGCCTCCTTCCTGGACGCGAGTCGGCAGCAGGGACGCACACTACGCTACACAGGTGACTGGAGAACTGGATGTAGTCCGAGCCCCTGACTCACACCGCAGATTTCGGTTACTATCCTGCCAGTCCTCGATTCCAACCTCATTTGATCGAAATTGATATAAATAATAACAACCGAAACAATCGATGTTTTCAAAACTGACGGCGAAATTTAGTTCATTTACAGCGACATGACAGCAAGCAAAGCGAGTGTCAATCAACCAGATCAACGAAAAAGCAACATATTTGTGTTGTGATAACCTGGTTATGACGTAGTGAACCTTGTGACGTCACATTCTGGCCAAAGGAGATGCACCACATCCCAGGTCGGTTTCTTATTTTTCGTTATTTTTATTTTTCCTTTTGTGGTATGATTCTGAAGACGTGTTTGTTCTTTGTGGAAAGTCTGTCAGAGTCATTTTAAAAAATTTGGTTACTCTTTCTGATTCGTCGAAATAACTGCCACATTAAAAAATCTAGATTATCCTATCTGACTTTTCGAAATAACTGTTTTAGGTGATGTGTGGTGATGGTGATGACTGGTGTTTATATCGTGGCAATGGTGATGTGGTTTGAATGGTGAGGTGGGGTACCGCAAGGAGCTCGCCGACCCATTTCCTGTTGTGCGAAGCTCTTAAACCTCCCAGATTTTGTTACGCTTAGAAAATCTTGTTTCGACTGGCTGAAGCGATTACCGCGCACGTAGACTCCTCCCCATACATACGCTTCATCATGTACAAGAGGCTCGCATATCACTGGCGACAGCACGAGCGTATACTCTTGCACATGTCAGCGGTCATGTGGGATCCCAACCAACATTTTTACACATTATCTGCGTCATAAAAGTTACATTAATTATTCTTGTTAACAGAAATACACGTTGTCTATAACAATTACTAAGGATTCTGCAAGTAAAGCATAAACTGCAAAAGTCACCATAAGGACCATTATATAATGCATAAAATGTATCCACACACACACAGGTAAAAGAAGCAATGGAAATCAAATTTCGCTTTACCTGGAATATTTCCTCGTTTCATTTATTTGATAATAATAGAACTGAGAAAATATTATAGAACTAGTAATCCTTTGTCGGCTGAGGGTCAAGGAAGACATATGTGGCGTAGAAATGGATACCTGATACCGTAAGGGGAAAGATACCTCTTATGTGGTTGATTTACGAATGGTTCTTCCTTAACACAGAATTTACGTTTTTTTTCTTCCTTGCTTACGCTTTGTAATCGTAGTTTTTTTATATTTGTCGCCATGAAGAATGTATTCATATTCAGTGAATAGTGTATCTGTTCTGATGGATTCGAAGGTATTTTTCAGATATTTCTTTATCCTTATCTTCAATTTTTTTTTTTGGGGGGGGGGGTTCTGCCAATTTTTTAACGTTTTGGGTTCCGATTGGTTTTATTATTATTATTATTATCAATTTCGTATGTGTTGTGGTTTAAACTTGTTGAAACCACGAGTCATGTCTTACGATCGCCCATTACCTTATCTTCAGTAAATAGGCATATTCACTATCACTCCTTGAAGTCCAAATTATTTGTGCATAACCGTGTTATACTGGTGAAGTCTCGTAGAGAAAAACAATTAATTGCCTTAAGTAACGTGGCACTAGCGTGGCACTGTTACAAGGCTCAGTAAAACCACCTCGTTACACCTGATCAGGTCAAGCAAAATCTCCCCATCGGGACCTAAGCCGCCATGACCTTCCTCGGGGGAAACGTGACCCATAATCTACTTACAGTTCGAGGAGCGAGGCGATCCAGTGACCGGCCGGTGTCCCTTCCTCTCCCGCCCAGCTGCGCCTTTGCACTGCACCGTGATTTACCTCGTTCTAATTTTACTCGCGGCGTTTCACCGACGCAGGGGATAAAAATGCTTCTCTTTCGTTAGGCGAGTTAGAGGCGAAAATACTTTCTGCTACGCTAAACAATCACACATAAGCGACACGCGATCGGTCAGGTAAAACACGACACCTGTGATTCCCGTGCCTCAAACGCGCCGCTGATTGGCCAAAGGGTCATCCTCGGCCGCTGTGCTTGTCGGGGAAGAAGCTGATTGGTCGAGGCAAATACTGCAGGTAACCTATGCAGTAACCCTGCACTCTCTTTCGTGCTTTGCAATTTCCAGTCAAAGGTATTTTTAGAATACGAAGAAGGCTTTATGGTGAGGCGGTATGCCATGCTAGCGAGGACCACCGCAGGCGGAAAGGTGGATTTATAAAAATGTTTCGAAACGATAAAACTTGAGGTGAATTAGTGACCAAATTATACGTCTATTTATGATTCTATAAATATATATTACTTTGCTAGCTTATGCCTGCTGATAGCGGCAATGATTGAAACATTAGGTAACTTCTGTGTGTAATACATATGCAATTCTTGCCTGTATCAACCCAAGTTTCAGATTCCGTAAAAACAGTTTTGTTCATGCAAACAGAAAAAAATGGGCAGCACCTACATTTTAGTTTAGTGGGAAAATGTATTTGTAAAATAAAACAGTATTCATAGTCAAGACTTAAAAAGAAAACACAAAACGATTCAAATTAAACAGAATATATAACAAATGATAACATACGCCTTGCTGAACAGGAAAATACACATCTATATAATTACAAAATCAAAGGGATTCTAAACATTCAATTCATATTATTTGCTTATCTATCTTATTCATCTTATCATTGTTTCAATATTATCATATTTTATGTATCTATTTATTCAATAATCTTCTGTTAGACGTTATCTAAGGCTCGAGAAGCGGCGAAAAAATTTACAAGGAGATAATCTTACCTTTCGAACAATGATCATTTTGTTATCAGTTTTGCCATCATCATAATGATTATCATTTTGATTTATTGGTCTTGTTGTTACCGCCTTTGTCTCTGTGATTATTGTTATTTTTAATTATCATTACTGGTGTTATTACCATTATTATTATCATTATCATTGTTATCATTACTGCCGTTATTATCAACATTAACATCATTATTATTACCATTGTTATTGTTATTATCATTAGTAGTAGTAATAGTAGTAGTAGCAGTAGTATGATTAATATAACCATCATTTTTACTATCATTATTATTCTCATTATCATTATCATCGTTATTATCATCATCATTATTAATATTATCACTATTATCATTATTATTATTATCACTATTATCATTATTATTATCATTATTATTATTATTATTACTATGATCATCATTAATATCATTCTCGTTATCATC